AAAATGGATGATTTTACATCAGAGAAACATGTTTGATGTCAGATTTTGTTGGCAGCTTTTATGTTCAGCTTTTTATAAAACCAGTATTTTTAGATCTGTTTAGAATAAAAGAGATGTTAACTAAGTTCACTATAGAGACCCACAGAGTTAAAACTTATCTACTTCAGGTGGAGAGAACTTCAAAATGAGAAGATGTGTTGATAGAGATGATAGGATCCAAGAAAGAAGATCTTTCTGCAGATCTTTACTTTTACTTACTATGCGAAAGACATCCGTCTTGAACCTTTCAAAGAAATAATGTTTCTCAGCTTCTCCTCCTCTCATATTGTTAAATGCTGTTTTAGCTTCATAACCAAACTTCATAAATTCTCCATGTTCATCAAACAGGATGCAGGTTGGAGTCTTTGGGGTGTCTAGTCCAAGTCCATCACTCCATCTCTTTATCTGGGTCTCTCCTCCTTCCTGTCTGGGTTTAACATTGAAGGCGTAGCCACTGAATCCTGAACCAAAGTCTATGGATATGATGAGAGAGTCAGGACCAGCTGGATGGAGGAGAGGAGAAAGTTAGAATATGATTAAAGAGAAGTTACTGTTTTATAACAAGTTACTGAAATAAATCCACAGACATAAATAATTGTTTCTATATGTTTATAATTTTATCCCTTTGAAAAGAAACTAAAGTGAAACATTAAAGTTTAGTCATTTTATGCAGATTATTCTGGTTCCACCTGTCCTGTGATGAACTGGTGACCAGTTTATGCTGAACCCTCCTCACCCAGTGGTTCTAGGAACCAAAACCTCAGTGTCATCCTGAATGGATAAGTTGGTAGGAACAACAGATGGATGAAAGGATGGAAGCTGGTAGTTTAAATATTTAATAATTTTATATAAAACCCAGAAATTTACTTTTATTTCATAACATCTATTGTGAATAGTCTTGCCATTATTTATTACATCATTTTCTTTATTATAAATTATATTTCTGTAACATTTATCCTCATTATTCNAGAATCCATTCATATATCACACATATCCTACAAACAGACTAAAACCTGTTAAATGTTTGTCTGCCAGACGTTACAGATCCACTCAGTACCGTTCCAGCTGGTACCAGGTTCTGCTGCTCCTGCAGGTTGATCCTGTGAGTCTCTGCTGTGGTTCTGTGTGATGAAACCATCAGGTTGAAGCTTCAAACACCAGGTCAAAGCTGCTTCTGACTCCAGAACAAACATCAGTTTGTCTTTAGTGGCGTCTGTTACAAGACCAGCCTGGAGGAGAAACCAGAAGTCTGATTCTGATGAACATTCAGAGATGATGACTCTAAAAACATGATGTTACCTGAACTGCAGATTTTATTATGAGCTCTTTAGTGGAATCCTTCCAGGTGTCAGGAACAGTCAGCACCCAGGTGAAGTCAGATGCTGTGAACTCTCCTCCTTCTGGATGAGATCTGATGGTTTTCAGAGCATCGTCCTTCAGGAACCTCAGAACTTCTGTAAAAACCTGCAGCTCTGTCATTTTCTTCTCGTTTGCTGCTTTGATTCCCCTCCTCCAGTAGTTGTCCTGTCAGCAGGTTTCAGTCTGTTAGTTTATATTCATGCCAGGTTAGTTTATCAAATCTACTGATGGTGAACTAGTGTCATCTTAGAACTACTCCATGATTTTAAATAAGGCACATACATTTATAGCAGTATATCAACTTTATTAAGTTACTGATACTGTGTAGGTGAAGTTAGATAGTATAGACAAAAGTAGAAAATACTCAGTATTGCTTTTGAAATTATTGATTTGACCTTTCACCTTAGACATCAGAATAACTTAAATAGTTCTGCCAATTCCCAGTTTCCTTTTTGCTAACCCATAAAACCACTGACAGGTGGTAAAAAGAAAAAACAGAAATTCCTCTTTGAATCCATTGTAAGTTTCTCCATTACATATAATTGATATTCCCTGTTGAGCCGATCATCAATCAATGGTATATTTACTTGGAGCCATTTTGTTATCTGCTGATAATAGATACAATATAATTATATAATATAATAATCTATATAATATAATTATGTATAATATGTGGAAAATCAAAAGGTATAATAATTTGAAAGCTATTTTGTAAACATCTAAGAATGTTTTCCCAGAATGCACCACTTTGGTACAGGTCCAAAGTCGCAGTCTGTGTTCCTGCATCGTCTCCATCAGCCCGTCTCTATAATATTTTGTGTTGGAGAGATAAAGAAACTCATTGTGTTCTCCCATCCAAATTTCTTCCAGTCTGCTGAATAAGTTGTTTTCCATTATATTTCACTCAATATTTCTCTAATCAGTGTTTTCTAAGTTTATGCCTAATTTCCACACATTTCTTTTTAACATAAATAGTGTCAGCATTTGATTCCCCAGATTCCTTGGTATAAACTTGTTAAGACCTTTTAAATTACATCATCATTATCTAACATTTGA